CTACTTGTCGAGGCGCCGGCGCCGGCCTTGCCTTGCAGGCGCCACCCTCGCCACTCACGGCCTGACACGCTACAGCACTTACCCCTTCGCGCGCCGCGTTACGCTGGTTCAGGTCCTGGACGCCGCTCTGCTCCAGCAGGACGACAGCCCCTCACCTCGCCGACGGCCTCCTAGTCCACCGCCACCGCGGCCCTTCCCCGCCCCACCCCTTGGCCAGCCCGAGCCTCGAGGGCCTGCCTACGCGAGAATAGAATCACAACACGGCGGATACGTCTCGCACAGCCGAGCTCTGGCCGATGTGAAATACGAAAATAAACCGCGGCTCTAGCCGCCGCGCCGTAGGGCAGGGCAAGTCCCGCGAGGCTGTGGCGGCGAGGGCGCCCCGACCCAATAGCTGTCACCGTCACCCCCTCGGGCCGGACGGCACCCAGGGCGACACCCGCCCGTCCCGTCCGGGCCGCGGCCGTCACCTGTCGGCGCTGCCGGGGCCGGCCGCCACCGGCGTGTCCTAATTAACTCCAACGCGCACCCACATCGGCGCGGCCACCACGTCGAGACCGTCCGCCACGACTGCGGTCTGCTTGAGGCCGTGGCCGCCGGGCCGGCTCGGCGTACTGATAAAAATCAATCACCTGCTCTGGGCTGTTCGATAAGGTGCGGCGGCGTGCGGCCGCGACCAGGTCCGTGTGTCGGGTGTCGGCCGGCCCGGCCCACTGGCAGCGGCCATTCACGCACTCATGCACCCTCCATTCACTCGGCTCGACTCGGCCCCCACGTACCCGAGCTCGGACAGCACGCCCGTGGTCCTGGGTCTGGGAGGGTGGTGCAACTGGTGGGCCAGGACGTCGGCGAGAGACTAGAGGCGGCCCCTGCCCTGCTCCACGGCGGGGCGTGGCGGGGGGCGCGGCCGGCCGGGGTGGGGCGTGGAGGCGTGGGGCGGCCGGGGAGCTGTGTTGTAGCCCCTTCAGCCCCTCAGATGCGTGGACCGCGGAGCACCCGGCACGCCCGCTGCCCCACCCAAGGGCCCAACTCGGCGTCACGCCAACCTCATTCTCTTTTTTTGCAGTGGTCGCTCTCCGGCTAGGACCCACGTTATTCCAGTGAACAGAGTTGAAAACGAAGAAAAGATTTTATTTCGAAAATCTAATTCCCTTGGAGACAGGCTTTTAGTCAGCTCCCTGCTGTGTCACTCTCGTGCTTTCGCGCAAATTTCTAAATTTTCGGTCTTTCTAAGGGTGCGACTTGCATCGACAGTTACGGTACATGGACTTCCCTTCCAGGTCCCCAGGGACACAAGTCAATTTGGTGGGGAAGGTTGCCTAATCCTCACTGCGCAGGCGCTGATCTAACGCTAGATTTAGACAGGCTTTCAGCTCTCAGTATTTATCTTCTGATTGGAGCCGTAGTTCCTGGGGTTCACTTGAAAAAATATTTTTAAAATTTTTGTGTATTGAATAATTGGGTAGGATTTTGTTAATTCTGTGGAACAACTCTGCCCGTGCAGGACCGTACCATTCGCGCCTTTGCGGCGCGAAGTTGGTAGTAGTGCTTGCGTTGTTGACAAACAGACATGGCGGCCCCAAGCAACAGAGGAACTGATCGACGTTGTTAGAGATTTGAACCAAATCTGAAGTTTTTAGAAATGTGACGCGCTTGTCTTGCACCAGTAATTTGCGTAGCCGAGTTAGACAATGGAGTCTGGAGAAGACACCCCTTCGATTGAACCGTCTGAGCGAGGCTCCGAGCGGAGCTACAGTCCTGGTTGCGATGACCAGCTATTTAACTTTGCTTGTGCCCCTACATTTGAACCGACTGTTGAAGAATTCCGAGATCCTACAGCATACATTAGCAAAATACGCCCACAAGCAGAACGCTTTGGTGCCTGTAAAATCAAACCACCTCCGGTAAGTGACATTTATGATGCGCACATAACCTCAACTTAACACAATCTGACAACAAACATTCATCCGTGTTTTCATACGTCTGATCGTAAAGAAGATTTTCTGACCTTTTTTTGTCAATGCCCTTTCTTTTTATGTTTTATATTTTTATTTGAACTTTCATAGTGGTTTGTCTTGTATTGTTTTTCAATCTAAAAAGTCTCTGGGTTTATTGAAGTCCTAAAGTTTCAAACTTGAGTTTCTAACGACAATGATAAATTGGTTGGGTTCAACTCCATAGTTTTGCATTAGGTCAGTACATTTTTTTCGTAATTTTGAACTTACATGTATTACCCTGGTAATAAATCCATCAAAAGTAATGTTTCAATTTAGATTGAAACATAGTTGTGACTCCCTGTGTTAAGCCTATCCGGGCCTATCCCACATGAAGTTTAACAAAACTTTCCTTTGTTTATTATATCTGGCTACAATTTAATGCTCTCGCTGGTCTTGTTATGTCCTCAGTTTTGTTTCTCTTTTATACAAGATATTTTCTTTACAATCGCTGCAGGACTTGTGTGCGCTCGACCGCTTTAGTTTCACTGCTTTGTTCCTTTACAGGAGTGGTGTCCACCCTTTGCTGCTGACACTGAGAAATTCAAATTTACTCCAAGGGTACAACATTTGACTGGCAAATGGGTATGTAGGTTTTCTTCTATCTTGAAGAGAAATTTAATTATACATTATAGGACTGAATATTTATTTACTTAAAATTGCAGGATCGGGAATGTCCAAACTGTGGCGACTACAAAAGTGATGTTGAAAAAATATATTGCTGCTTATGTTATGATATGTATCACGTGACATGCTTGGATCCAATTCATGCTGAAAAAGATGATGGTATGTATTTGTTTTAACTACAGAGTACATACAACTGTAAGTTTTCAATAAGTAAAAATTGTTCATATTTATTTTGTAGGTGTGTGGTGGTGTTCACGATGTGTGCGAGGAGAAGAGCAAAGCCGTCAGGACTCGATGCTGTCAGACCAAAGATACTCTTTGAGCCAATTTGGGGATATGGCTGACAAATTCAAGGCAGAATTTTTCAATACTCCTCCTGCTGTGTGTTATCTATCTTATCTACATATTCCATATATTTCTGGCACACTTTAATCTTTTCATCCACAATCATATTTTTACTTTTTCTTCCATCAGCTTATTCCACTGAAAACTATAGAGCATGACTTTTGGCGTTTGAGAGCTTCACCTGAAGAGGAAGTGACTATTGAATTTGGGGACAATCTCTCCAGTGATGAGTATGGTTCGGGTTTCCCTAAATCCTACCATCGATCGGATCCTTTGGTTTGTACTACTCATTATTTTCTAAATTATCTAATGTAAATAAGCCATCTATTATCATCTTAACAATCCATTGAATCTAGGAAATTCGTGAGTGCTATCGTTCTCCATGGAATCTTCATAATTTAGCCCGCCTGGAAAATTCTGTTTTGCATCATGTCAAAGAAGCCCAACTGCATGTCCCTGTTGTTGATGTAGGGATGTGCTTTACCACTCATGGATGGGTTCAGGCTCCACATTGGCTTTACTGTGTTAGTTATCTTCACTGGTAAGTCCATACTTTTAATGCATGATCCCTTGATTTGGGAATATTGTTGTCTTTGTGTAAATTCCCGCATCCTTTGTAAAATGCTTGTTGCTTTAACAAAAAAAAATTCTTTTAAATTCTAGGGGTGAACCTCGTACATGGTATATAATACCAGGTGACTCTGCAGAGACCTTTGAGTCCTACATCCTGGAACAGTCACCTCCTGTGCCATCCTCCATCACCCCTGAAAAGTTGTGGAGTGCAGGTACAGAAAAATGACAAATATAATTTCAATTTGGGTGCTTGTTAAACTTCCTCAAATTATTATTTAGAATCTTTAATCCAATCTTGTACCCATTTTCCAGATTTTCCTGTTTACCGTCTCGAGCAGAAGGCAACTGAGTTTGTGATAATGTTTCCTAGAGCCTACCAATTAAACTTTAGCCATGGTTTCAACTTTGCAGAATGTGTTTTATATGCACCGCCTGACTGGGTAAATCCTTATTACTTATTCAATATTATAGCATTTTGTACTTCATTGGTATATGTAACAAATTTAGCATGATAGGTACCTAATATACATCTCTTATTTGTTTATAATAGATTACACATGGTGGAGACTGTGAAGCTTATTATTCTTCTAAGAGACGTCCAAATTTGTTTTCTCATTCTGAAATACTCTGTAGAATGGCTTGCTCTTGGCCCAATTTGGATTCAGCTTTACGGCCAGCTGTCTTTGAAGACTTGAAGGATTTATTAAGTGACCATCGCACTCAAGTTAAAAAAGCACATAGAAAGGTAAGAGTTCTGTAATAAAAGAAATAATCATGGAAAATATTTAGCGTGTATCAATAGAAAAAATATAATTTGCCGTGTACATATATATTTCAGGGTGTCACCAGTTCTTCAAAAGAAATGATGGAAGCTATGTCTTGGGGTGAGCGCCGTTGTGTAATTTGCCATACTATTTGCTTTTTGTCAGCTGTCACATGTTCATGTGATTCTGAGAGAATGGTTTGCTTGGACCATCTGAATTGTCTTTGTGACTGTGATTTTAGTAACTACACCTTAAGGTACGTTTCAGATATTGTCAAATATTTTTTATGTTTCCCTTGCTGTACATTTTCTTGACCATCCTCCTTCTGTACTATAGATACCGATATTCTGAAGAAGAAATTCCTCGCTTATTGAGTAATTTGTCCAGTTGGGTTGAAGAACTTAATACCTGGCAACAGAAGGTAGCTGAGTTGTATAAATCTTTGTCTGAAAAAGAAGGTATGTAATGAAGTGACACCTTAATTTAAGAAAGTTACTTACAGCTTTTTAAAACATTGGTACGTTTTCTAACAGACTTAGATACATTTAAGAAGCTCTTTTCCGAAGCTGAAGAAAGTCAGTTCCCAGAATCAGAACAATATCACCAACTAAAGACAACCATTGAAGAGGCTACTCAACTTGCAGAACTTTGCTCTCAATTAAGCAATAGAAAAGTCAGAACTAGGTGAGTGCCACTAATATAAATTACAGTCATGATCAATTTTTTATTGTCAGGATGTTATACTAATGCTTTCAGAATATTCGTGTTCTTGTTCTTACAGGACATATACAACAACTGATGCTAAAGTGAAATTATCCTTAGATGAACTTACTAGTTTATGTGGTGCAGTAGCAGATCTAGCTTGCCGAATTCCCGAGGGAGATGCAGTTATTAATCTTTCCAAGAGAACTGAAAACTGTCGTCGCCTAGCACTTGAGCTGTTGGCACAGGATTTACCTGACTCATCAGAACTTGAAGAATGTTCTGAGCAAGCAAGTGGACTTGACATTCATTTCCCAGAGGTGTCTGTCTTGAAACAGGTGTGTTACCATATATTTTCATTACTTTTTGAATCTAATTTTTATATTATTTCTGAAACTCCTTTATGCGTTATATTGTCTAAAATTCAACATTGTCTTACAGAGAATTATTCAAGTTGAATGGCTGGATGAAGTTAATGCATTAAGAGAGGCTCCTGAGCAAGTGACAATGTATGCCTTACGAAGGCTTATTAGCATTGGAATTGAACTTCCTCCTCACACCAGGGTTGAGCAAGCCCTCACTGAACTTCAAGTCTTACTTCGGAGTGTTGAAGATTGGCAGGAGAGGGCAAAGATTTGTCTGGATGTGAAGTATGGCAACCACTTAAAAAACACCAAAATAAACCTTGTTTTATTTTTTAAAAGAGAGTGCTACATTTGTTTTTCTTTGCTTTCTAGATGTCGCCAGAATATTACAATCCTAGAGTCTTTACTAGAAGAAGCAAAAAGTATTCCTGCATATCTTCCTAACATTCAAGCTTTGCACAATGTCTTAAAAAAAGGGAAAGAATGGATCTCAAAAGTGGATGCAATGCAGGTTTGTTATTATGTTTGTTACTTTGACAGACACACAAGTATTGAGCTGGTTTAACTGAAACAAATTTAACATTTCAGAAGTCAGATGAATTTCCATATCTTGACATTCTTGAGAAATTGGTAAATCAAGGTCGTGGCATTCCTCTTGATTTAGAACAACTTCCTGTGCTGGAGCAACAAGTGACAGCAGCTAAAGCCTGGAGGGATCGCACTTCTCGAACTTTCCTCCGAAAAAATTCCTTGTATACTCTCATGCAGGCACTTGCTCCTCGTACCGTGGTTGGAGTTGAGTCCTTACATACCAGTAAGACTCTTCAACAAATGCAGTACCAACAACTGTACCAATCGTCTGACATTAATTCTGTGGACTCAACCACAGTTGTGCAAGTCTTCAAGGTATAGAATTCTGATTTGAAATTTTTTGTATCCTTCTTTGTTTCTCATTTTGACTACTATAGTTCCTAATGCTTCAAATCTTTCCATGATAGAAAGCTGAGATTCAAGAGATGATGTCCATGCGAGAACTAAGGGCTCAAAATATCCAGAAAAGAATGCGTGATCCTGGAAATGCTGTATATTGTGTTTGTCGAAGAGCAGCTCATGGTTTAATGCTTCAATGTGAACTCTGCAAGGACTCATTCCATGGTACAAATACATGATGTATACTATTGCATATCTACCTGGCTCTCTTAAGTCAAGTTTCTCATTTCAGCTTGAAAAATAATAATCAAGTATTTTGATTCAGTGATACCAAAATACTGATGCATTTTTGTTTTTTCTGTTTGCAGCTTCTTGTGTGCCTCTTCCCAAGACAACTGGTAGTAAGGCTCGATTAATGACACCTGCACAACAAATAGCGGCTGCAGCTTCAAAAGAGGTTAAATTTTTATGTCCTTGCTGTCTGAGATCAAGACGGCCACGACTGGAGACCATTCTCTCCCTTCTAGTCACCATGCACAAAGTTCCTGTGCGACTCCCAGAGGGAGATGCTCTGAAGTGTCTTACGGAAAGAGCTATGAATTGGCAGGTTAGTATATGCCTCCATTTGGTGAACTTTTTTTTAATTCATAAGTGCTCTAAATTTGAAATGTCTTGAAAATTTAAGGATCGCGCCCGTCAGACTCTAGCAACTGAAGAACTTGCATCAGCTCTAGCCAAATTGTCTGTTCTGTCTCAAAAACTTGTTGAGGCAGCTGCCCGTGAGAAGACCGAGAAAATAATCTCAAGTGAATTGAAGAAAGCTGCCTGCAAGCCAGAGTTAGGAATCAATATGATGGCCATCAGAGCTAGTCATACCACAGTAAGTTTAACCAAAATGTTTGTTGTGTGAACTGTTTTTATTTTACATTTTCTGTGTATACTCAGCACTTTTTTCTCCTCTAGGGTGTTGAAAAATATCATGATGGTGAAGATCATAATACAAGCTTTAGTAATTCTGAGCATGCATACTCATCTGGTATGTTGGTAATTCTAATCTTAGCATTGTCTGTTAATGTTTGTAATCTTATTTGTAATATCCGTCCTCTTTGTGCAGCATCTAAAAGCGTGCAAGGAGCTTGTGCCATGAGTGGGACACCTGGAAACAAAGGGAAACTAAATCTGCACACTCCACTCCTCTCCTTAACTGAGGCTGTCCGTGCTCAACTGGAGGAATTAATGATGGAAGGAGATCTTCTTGAAGTATCTCTGGATGAGACCCAACATATTTGGAGAATTTTGCAAGCCACCAAACCACCACAGAACTATAAATATCCTGATATTGATGTAAGATAATCAATTTAAACTTTAAATTTCATTGGAATCTAGTTAGTTATTATGGATCTTCATTGATTTTAATTGTTCATATTGTCCATCTATTATTTTCAGGACATAGAGCATGAACTGATGGCATCACAGGTTGAAAGGGAGAGGATTATGAATGATCACAAAAAGGAAAGAAGACGAAAACACAGTGAAATGGAGAGCCCTGGTATGAGTTATCCAGTTCCGCCAAGGAAGCCTCGAATGTCTTTTCCTAATGAATTTGATAAAATTCGTCGCCCTCGGCTAAAGGGCATGAAAAGAGGCTTTAAAAGAGATATGGGTCCTATGCGAGTGAGTAGAAATAAAATATTAAAATATAAGTTGTTGTGTTATATAAATATTTGTATCCTGTTTGCATATGTTTAGCACAATAACAAATCTTATTTTATTTTCCATAATAGGGACAGAGAAAGCAAACTGATGGTAGGTTCCAGTCAAGAAAGGGCAAGCGAGGAAAGTCAGATGATGACAATGATGACTGTTCTGCACGACCTTGCCTACATCCTCTAGGTGTGTACAGTTTTATGAAGTACAGAATTTTTGTTACTCGAGTAAATCAATGGTAATGGTTTGTAACTAAAACTTTTCTGTGTTTTATTTGTAGAGCGAGAAGTTGATTGGGTGCAATGTGATGGCGGCTGTGAATTGTGGTTCCATCTCTTCTGTGTTGGATTGGACAAGCGGGATGTGAAAGAAGATGAGGATTTCATCTGCAGAGTTTGTGTAGGAAGAGGTTCATCTTAATTGTTCTGTGTCATTCCAAAGTTATTGTTTTATAAAGATTATAAAATGTTGAATTTTCCCCTGTAATTTTCAGTCACGAAAGACCTGAATACATTCAATTTATTTTTAGCTGCTGTGTTTTTTGTTTCCTTTTCTAAAATTTTTAGCCTCTTGCCCCACTGCCTAAACCCCAAGCTCGGACCTCGGACATTCGGTTATTAGCTCGGTACAGTATGTGCTGATTTGCAAGTTGCGAGCCTAGTTCCGTACCGCACGATGTGTGTCGTCATTGCACGTTTGCGCGATAACGCCAAACCAAGCACTGCAAATCCAAGGGTGCAGCCAAAAATATTTTTAAAAATTAA